ACTTCACAGGGATGAGCTCAGTTAAACGAAGGTAGAGGCAAACATCTTAATTTTCAGCCAACAGTAGCTTCTCTTGTACAGAATTCTGCTGTTGACTGAATCCAGTAACCTTACATTCTCAAACTACAAGGGAAATTTCAATGTGCATATGTTTTCTACTAGGTCTGTACTCTTCCGAACACCAAGATGGAAGTTTCAAGGCTTTCCATTGCTCCAGTCCAGGAGTAGCATATATCCCAACTTAACAGAGTGAAAATGTTTGCCTTCATATCAATTATCAAGTCAGAAGTTAATGCAGACTTTCAGGCAAAATGTGCTGGAGCCATCAGCTCTTTAAAAACAGCAAAATTACTTAAATTCATTTATTAAAAAGACTGCAAGACTAATCTCAAATTTTCATCTGAAAGAAACAAATGCTACTTTTTTAACAAATGCAAGGATTAAAATATGGTATCAATTCCTAGACCAGTACAACCTCTTCCACACGTGATACTATGTGTTTAGCTTGCTCCTTGTAGAGCCAAACTTCTTTTTTAGAGTTATGTTCCTTGTTTTAGTATCACGTTTTGCCCTGCAAAAGTGGTAGTGAGCAATATCACCTAAGGCCTTTTGCATACTACGTAACCCTGGTATTTCAGGTACTCAAGCCTCCCTCCCTTAGATGAATGCTCTCATCTTTAGACTGGAGAGCTGTACTATTTCTCTTGCTAATGAAGTAAATCTCAGTGGCTGAGCTTCAACTAGAGGAGGAAAGCGTGTTGCAGTGTCTTAACACTCTTCCAAGCACCTCACAGATAGGTCATCAGTGTGGTCTTCTGCACGTGGCAGATCCAGGGCTGAGGTACTAAAGTGAAGCTCTACCACAATCTCAGAACTACAGTTTAAAAGGGGGTTGAGGAGCTTCTAAGCCAGCTGTGTTTGAAAAGAAAAGGAGCAGATTTCTTCCTGCTTTAGTAACACTTTTGAAATGCATCTTTCGCAAGGACCCCTAATGACATGATTGCCATTTACATATCCATTTGATAAAGGTATCTTTCTACCTGTAGTGCTGGACCCTAAAAGGGCTCACTCTCTCTTCATAGTCTCATGTTAAGAGGCTCTTCACTCAGCATAGCAGCTGCCACCAACTTCATTTAGAGGTTCCCAAATCCCCTTGTAGGAAGCATCTGATTCTGCTCTGTGAGCCAGGAATCTAAAAATGCAGCACTGCAACACCTAAGTCACTTTAGAAATTCAAGCCTTCGAGTCTCTCAGCTGACTTTCACTTTCACGCCTGGAGGCTAATGTTGCAGATCATGTGTATGGATTTTCTTTTTACTAATTCCATAAGAAAATCTGCAGTGCTACAGTTGGAAATCTAATGGCTTTTTTCAAATAGTGCTGGAAACACAGTGAGGACCTCTGGCTTTGTGCTGTGAATGACCATTATTTTACTTGGTGAACAGTGGCAAATTATTTGCACAGTAAAGAACACGTAATTAATTACAAAGTACAAACAGTAACTGATTATTATGATCATTTCAATTCCCTACAGTGAAGAGTAGATGGTAATTAATTTCTGGACTTACCAGACTAAATATAATTACTTAAAACCACAGCAACTGTAGGCATTCGCTAGTAAAACAGAGCTAGATGTTACTGTATTTGTTTATTACCCAACACTTTATCCATAATTCAACGCTACAAGTAAAACAGAAATATTTCAAAATAACTTCTAAAAAGCCATAGATTAAAAACATGGCTAAACAGTTACAAATTTTAGCATTTCTACAATATTATTAATAGCACATTCTCTGTTATGCTTATTTGAACTTTAACTGCAGTAACTGCCAGGGAATCAAAAACCTCCTTCACATGATTTACTGCCTGTGCATTTATGTGGTATTTAATACCACATATTAATTTAATATTACTCTAATTTTGTATTGATTAGAATGTTGGGACAAAGTCTAATTCTGTAGCCTCTATTACTTTGAAGAATTCGTGTTTGTTTCTTCACTGCTTGTGAAACATCTCATCTTCCAAAATAAGGTTTTTGGGAGGGGATGGGTGCAAAGATTGCAAATCACCCTTTGTTTTTACTCATAGTCAAACTCAAATTATACCTGTATATAAAATTATCTCTGAGCTTTCTGGAACTCTATGTTCATGTTCTGGCTATGCAAACCCACCAAGACTAGGCTTTCTGCAACATATCAGTCAATGTCTTTGTTCTGTTTCAGAAGAGGGAAGGGCATCTACAAGAACTTTCAGAGTAGTTTTCAGCAGATACAACTTTACTCATTGCTGATAAGGAGTAGAACAGGCAAGGATGCACATATTTTCTGTACCTCTCACCAGCTTTCCTCACCAAGAGTTGTCAGAGAAGTCTGGAGAAAGACAAAGGGGATGAGCTTCCCCTTCTTTGTGAGGAAACAAGCTCTGAGGGATTCCAATAAATCCTGAGGTGGTTGTTTGTGGTAAATTCACAAACAGGCGTTAAGGACACCAAACTGAGCAAAACACTTGACTGATGAGAAATAATACAAAATGGCACCTGTTGGATGTGCTCTCTGCATGTGTCTTGTACTTATCTGCTTGCCCTTTGCGCTTGAGCCAGCTATTGTTTCTGAAGTGCTAAATGAGGCAGAAGTATGATTCAGACATCATGTTAATTAAATCCTGATTGTAGAATCATCATTATTTTCTTGGTGGAAAAGCAGGGAAAACAGATCCTGCTTTATTTTCAAGTTTCAGTCTGAGTTGCTTTAAACTGAGCAAAGGAGATACGGGGTACGTCTGATGCAGCAGGGATCTGGACATTCCTGAGAGAACGTTGAGACCCCTACAAATGTTACTGTGAACCACAAGCTGATTTTATGTCTACCGAGCTGCTATTACTAGTAGCCTTCGCAATGTCATTTCAATGTAAGTAGATAGGAAATGAGTCTGCTCGTGTATTAGTTACATTCAGTATGTGAGACTGCTCTGAGAACAGCAACTGGTAAATTCTGAGGTGGGGAATTGAACAAATCCTATAATCTTAAGAAATAAATAAAAGCACATCTCTGTCTCCCTTGCAAGATATGCCCCTATTTATCAGCTGACTGTCAATCTGTATTCTGTAATTACATTATTTGTTGCAGCTATTTTTCGAAACTGTACAGTTCCTTTGGAGAAATGCACTGCTTTAACTTAGCAGCTATTCTCTTCCTCTGCCCTGCTGTGATGCTTCTATCATAATACTCCTCATATGCTGGCAACCACAATCTTTTGCCCCCACGAATGGCCCCACAGAAAGGCTAAGATGAATCTTCAGATGGTTCCTTAAATTTATTCCTTTCCTCTCTTGCTATTGTTAGTAAAGCAATAAGCTTTTCTTTTTCCCTGATGCCTCCTTTTTCAATCCTGTTGGAAAGGATGAAGACACAGGGTTGGAGAAAGCTTTGCAGGGTGACAGCTTTTTAACACTGAATAATCTACTGCTGTGCATGCTAATAGATGGTGCTAGGTTTGATTAACTAATTTTGCAAATGAATATCTAAGTAAATTACTTTTGCAGATCATTTCCAATGATTCTTTCTCTTTAATCTCCTCTTTGAATAGTTTCATACTGATTGTTGCTGCTGACGATAAGAATTCATATAAAACCCTGGGGTATATATTTCATAGTAAATACATCTGGTACCATCTTACACAAGAAAACCCTCCCCCTCACACACATCTTATTTAAATGTATATAGTGATAGTTTCAAGACAATTTTTTTCAGAAGTTTCAAAGTCATATAGGAATGCAATTTCCATTCATGCTCAGTTCATGGCTGGTTTTAAAAGACACTCAGGTACTTATGTAACTGGGCATGCCCGTAAAGAATTTTCAAAGATTACAAAGACAGACAGACATATTTTAATTGCCACAAACACCTGATTTGCCCAAGATGTCTTTGAAAGATCCGGCATGCCTATACGTCTATAGAGATCTGAGCGTTTTGCAGAGCTAATACAAGATTTGGACTAAAAATGTAAGACTTTTTCTCTTCTCTTTTTCTTTGCTACTTGGAAATAAAATAATTTCCTTTAAACCAAAATATCATGTGAGGTACTTGAGCAAATACTTCTACACCCACATTCCACATAATCAGAAAATCCATAATTCTTTCTCAAGAAGTTGTGGTCTTAACCTATACTCTGTACTTATCTCATTGTCCATAGATCACGACATACTTAAATATTTGTCTTTTCAGTCTCTAACATTTCTTAGATGCTTGCCTTTAAAAGATAAACTTCATACACCATCCAAGTTCCATGTTCCCTTGCCTCAGCTGAATAAACCAGTGTCTGGACAGCCTAACTCACATATTTGCTGTCAAACCACTACAGTGCTGCTGGAGTCTCCTTCTCTGGAGATATTCAAAACCCTCCTGGATACGCTCCTGTGCGACTTGCTGTAGGTGATCCTGCTTTGTCAGGGAGGTTAGACTAGATAATCTCCAGAGGTCCCTTCCAACCCTGATGATTCCGTGACTCTGTAACGCTCAACACATCAGCTACCATATCATCATCTCTCCAAAACCTTACATGAGCTTTCCCATGTATTCCTGAATCACACCAAGTTCCAAGTCTTCACCCTTAAGTACTTCATAACATTTCCGTCAAATACATTGTTTCGTCTACTTTCTCACTTCTCAGTTCTTTTGCCTCTAACCTCTCTTACTTCTTTAATCACTTAGGTCCTTCTGCTCTCTTGCCCTGACACAGGCTCTGTGTTTGTCTGCCAATGCGGTGTTCACTCCTCTTTCTTCCTTGGGTGTCCCCTTCACCCACTCATACATGCAAAGTCAGATAATTCATTCTGAAGCCCCACAGACATTTTTAAATAACAGCCAGCGACCTCTGCTTCCCCGCATACCACTCTGCAGAACAGGGCACTGCGGCTGGCAATGGGCAGAAGAGGAAGGGCATGCCAGCCGTATTGCCTCCAAGTAGGAGAAATGGGAAACAGACTTTTCAGTTCCACTTACCGGTTCCTATTGCTAGAAATCCAATCCGAGATTAACGTTGCAGCCTGCTGGTGACAGTGTTTGTTACCGAAGCTGCAGGCCAACATGATGACTTCCCGACGCAACTCTCTGTTCAAATTAAAGAAAGCGATAAGGTTGCTTTAATGAATGTGTTTGAATGTTTACAAAAAGCTATTTCTTATAACAGCGGCAGCAACTGATATTTGGGCAACATATCAAAGATAATCCAGCTATACAAATCTCAGTGTCAATTTAAAGCCTACAGCCGCTGCAACAACTAAAGAAAGGCTGTGGACCAAAACCAGCCCCCATTTAGACTTATGCACTCTTCCTGACCTCTGTGGTCATATGCGTCCAAGTTCTTAAACATCCAGTCAAATATTAAATTAAGGCTTAGGAAATCATGTTCTTAAAACTCATGAAAGAGGAATTCATCTCACAGCACCTTGCTGCTCTCCCTCTAACCCAGAAAGGAAAAACAGAAGGACAACAGAGCTAGGAAAGTATGACATGCTGAAGATGACACCAAATTTTAGGAGAGTGCATTATTACAACTATATCCCACAAAAAAACAATAAAAAAAGAAATATAACAGTACTCATGTTGGTATGATGCTTGAACAAGCGATTTGTTTAAATTATTTGTTGGCCATCCAAGCTTGAGATACATTGATGCAACTTGTCTTAAAATATACTCCTGAGGGGGAAAAGAAAAATACATTTAATGTTAACATTTATTTTGTATTTGAAATTGAAATACTACTGACTATTGAGGTTTTCTCTCTTTCACCCTCAGATAATGTCTGACTTTCCAAAGATTTTGATTTACATTTAGCAAAACAACATATCCACTTATAATCCTCCTTCACTGCTATAGTGAGAAGTAATCTGTGGAACAGCTATTTGATTAATGTCCAGTGTAAGACAATTTATTGTTATAAACCTCATAAATTAAAAAAGTTTCTTACACGCTATTTTGAACTCACAATACATGGCTGAAAAGTTGCTAGAGTGTCAACAGCTTAATTTCTACTCTATAGCAAATCTCAACTACACCGTGCATGTTCACTTTTAAAAGAATATTGCTTCAATATCCATTGCCATGGCAAAAACATTATGTAAGTACAGTCAATTTCAAATACAGAACAATGTGGCTGCAAATAAGCTTTGCACATTTAATGACACTACACTTTAAGTTTAGGTTCCTGGCATCCTTAAAGAGCAAAACAAGCCCAAGATCTATTTTTGTTACTTTTACTTTTCATACAGAAGACATATTTACATATTTTGACCAGCGGTGAAGAAAACCACTGTCATTGTATTCAGCTCAATCTTTTGTCAGTGGAATTCACCAATTTGAGAAAGACAATTGAGATATAAAGAACCGCATAGGAGAGCATCTATTTTATTATTGTGGATGCACGGGCATGTATATATGATGTCAACGCAAAAGGAGATTCATGGTGCAGCAGATACATTATTTTGTGACTAAAAAGTCTTTTTATTTCCTCTGCTATCACCTCTGCTTTCAAAGCTCTCGTCAGTAGCGATAAAACACAACCCAGCTGTGAATTTTACTGGTTTTATTTATTAAAATTGTTATTTCTTTACAGAGCCATGTTTAAAAGTGAAATAGCAATGGCAGACTTGTAAGAATTTTTCTGTGCAGTTAACAACAGACTAAACATGCAAATTATTTCAACATAATTTTATATTATGGCTCTGGTTTGCATGTAGGCCTATATTGTAGGTTCATAAAGAATTTCAATGCGTCTTTATTAATCTTTAGTATACGTTCTACAAAAATAATTTTTCATGTCAGCACGTAGCTCTGTGTACGTGTGTGTGTATATATACATATATGTATGTACCTCTACATATATACACATCCAGCCACCTCTAGCTGCCTGCTCTCTGAGCATGTGTGTCTGTGGACACACACACAAACAAATATGTTTAAGAAGAAAAAGGCACCTTTAAGCATTTCAGGTTTTTGAGAGTTCCTTCATTTGAAGGCTTTACAAAATTATGTAAAATTACAGTATGTTGGCCATTGAAAACATGTAGGCTACATACAATTCATAGTGAATAAAAAAACCCAAAAGTTCCTACTTGTCATTGGCTGCAATCAAACCCTGTGTACTTCATAAAACATGCTTCAGCGTAGCTACGATTTTTTTTTTTTTTTCAGGTAAAATATTGAAATGTTTGTCATGTCTATCTTAATTATCTACTGCTAGCTGTTACTGCTGTCCCTTCAGACCCAATTATGAATGAGCTTTTGATTCAATGGTGATCTAATCCTTGTTAATTAAGGTAACTGTATTGAATTCACCATGGCTTTTTGGATGAAATAATGACTACAAATCTTTACTTCAGTTGCATGCATCCTGTTCGGTTGTGCCTGCATTTGATATCCTTGTTGAGCTTGGGCATCAATCTAAATATCACTGTGGGGCTCCTCAAAAGAGAAAATCTGCAAATAGATTACTCTGGCTCTTTTAAGTGAAATACTTTATTTGTCATAGTATTTCATAGAAGGGATAATTACCTTTCCTTCTACTAATCATATATGCCTCAAACAACAGTTGTCACTGTTCAAATGCAAATGAACCAAAGCTTGACAATGGCTATGTTTAAATAAAGAATAATTAGGAAGAAAGCTAATATCCCTAGGTCATTTACAATATCTGACTGGGGAATAGTTCAATTCTTGGCAACGAAAGGAGAGAGAGTGAGAGAAAGGAAGGAAGGAAGGGAGGGAGGGAAGGAAGGAGGGAGGAAGAAAGAGAGGAAGACTGTATCTCTTACATTGAAGATGTTGTAGTTTTCTGTGCGGTCCAGCGATTTGTCTAGTGGATAAAGAGCTCGGCTGGCAGCGTGCCAAGGCAGAAAATCCTTCTCCTCTGAAAGGTATTTGATAATCTCCAAAGGAATATTCTGAGGTAAATAACCAGCTCTACACAATAAAAGAAGTTAGTATTAAATTGGTTTTGCAGAATATACATGACGAGGCAAAAATTACTTTTTTCCAAATGAAATTAAAAGGTAGAAAAACATGATAAACTCATCACACTATAATGACATAAAAGTCAACCTTATAAAAAATAGCAACTCACAGTCTCTCCCAACACGTGTGCAAGCGTACTTACTGGATGAAGGAAGGCATGAACACACACGAAAGAAAACTAGACAAGCTATCCCTACTTTACATGGATTCCTGTGGCTATAGAAGACACGAACAATGAAGTAACTGACTTTAAGCAAAAAAAAAAAAAAAAAAAAAGGAAGGTGTTGCTTTGCTGATTTGTAAGATAGAAAGCTGTTTGCCTAAAATCAACAACCCAAGGCATTTTGCTTCAGAGAACTTTTCTACTGGCCATGGGCAACTGGGAAGAACTAGTGGTGAAGCAGCATCTTTAGTTTCAGTTATCCACTCTTTCTTCTTCAGAGCCGCCTTGTCTTCTATCCACCTTAAGCCACTTTGGAACGACTTATCCAGTGACATCACTTTGGTTAAGCATGTTCCAGCACTTTCCACATAAACTACAATTTTTTCAGGTGTTTATAAATCAATCATCTAGAATTTTGTCCCATTCTTTTACAGTCATAAAAGACCTCACCCTGCAATGGAAAGAGTTTAGGGGGTTTCAGAAAGGCTTTTTAAATTATTACCTTTACAAGTAAAGTGCAATACAGACACAAGCATTTGAAAGCTGCTTTTTAAAACTGAGTATAGGCAACATCAAGCTTTAGGATTTGCCCTCATTTTGTTTTTCAGAACAGCATTTTTTCTTAACTATCCAGACTGCAGAAACAAAGTGTAACCCTGTGGGTGTGAACTTTACAGAAACACACAGGTCTATTCTCCTGATGCGTGTGGTTAAATCCCAAAGGAGTTCTCTACCTGCCTAGAGAGGTGATAATGATTCTGTTTTCATTAAACACGTAAAGACTGCAAGTTGGATTCCACAAGCTTCAATTTAACATAGGCTACAGTATGTTCTATCTTCATAGATTATTTTTTCTCCTTGTTGGTTGCAAATGTTCCCCTTAATTTCCATCCCTGTCTGGGGAAAAGACGCATCCATATAACAAACAAAGAAAATGACACAGATTATTATGGAAATGAACCAATGCATACAAGTTGATATAAATTTTTATCTCAGTTGTAACAGCATATAAAAAATACTTCACTGAAATATTTGAAATAGATTGTTCTTTTTGTTATGGTCCAAAACCATAGCTTCCTTTCAAGACACACCACATCCATGCAAGCCATTGTTTGTCACATTCTTATTGGAAGAATTACACCATGTTCGCTTCATGTTCTTAGGAAAGAAGTGAGTTCATGTTAACAGCTTTCAAAAGTATCTATCCCATGTCCTTATGACGACCCACTCTCCAGTCTGCTTCATGTCATCTTTGTCCACATTTTGTCAGCAAGGCTTCGTTCTCAACTCCAGTTAACAGCACATATTCAAGCACAAAAACCAAGATCACTTGGGGAGCTCACTGTGTCACTCAGGAACTGAGCAGATAGGAAATGAGAATGGTGGAGCTCTTAAGAGTGGGTGGAAGACAAAGTTCAATGCATCTGAAGATAGAGAAAGTTACTCCTTTTTATACATCTTCCTTATTTCTGAAGCAGCAGAATACCATTAAGGTGAGTTCTAGGTCTTAATACTTTTTAAAGATGTGTAACTGTAATTAATGGATCCAGAAGCAAGTTGGATTGACTGCAGTTAAAAATCTCAGAGATAATGTTAGTAAAGAGGTAAACTAGCTTCAAGTTGCATATATGTAATTAGTTCCTAATGGGATTTGTGATTATTGTTACTGATAATTTGATTGACATGAGAAAGTGTAGAGTAAGGAACAAGAGGAATAGCTCTAGGAAACATGCTGCTTAAGGAATAAACAGATGAATGTTTGTTATAGCTGCACTAATGGACATTTAGGATCATGTTTCCAAAATTAAATCTCTCTATGCTAAGTGCAAAAGTGAAATCATCAGTGCAAAACGAACAGATTACTTCTTTTTAAGCTTAACTTCTCCATAAAGACATACAAGAAGTGAACTCAGACAGATCTCTTATTCCTAATCAGTTTCAAAATCGTGATTCTTAGCTGATGATACTCATCCCGTTCACAACAGAAACTGTTACTCTCATCACTCACTGCTTCTAACTTCCAAATTTATCAGCCCATTCAATTCTGACTGTCTCTCCTTCTGTCCCCCACTTTTCCTAAGGCTATATTCCTTCTCACAAAACCAGACTGTGGCAAAGTCTTTTTCCTCTTTACTCCTGAATGTCATTCTCTTTCTGCATATGACCCTTGAAGAGCTTATGCACAGCATCATCAAAATCAACCCCTCACATCAACAGAATCAGTCCTGATGGCAGGGATGGGGAGGTGGGGAGGTCCTTGTGGACGACTTTATTATATAAATGACAACTAATTTATCACTTCAGATCATGATTTTGAGTGAAAGTGGTTATGGCTGCTATGATCAATGCTAAACTCTCTATCAGCACATGTTGGGCAGATGTGCTTCAAGTACAGCTGCTAGGTTGGACCTCTGAGGGAACTTGAGCAGAGACATATCTAAAATCCTCTTACAGCGGCAGTTAAGATAGAAGCACTTCCCTGGAGAAAACAGAAGTCCTTCAGGAACATTGCCTGGGTAAAATGTTCTTTATATTCTATGCTACTTTGTTGTATGGATGCCTCCAGAAAACCATGATAGCCCTATTCTTTCACCCTCAGTCACTAAGCCATGTTTATGAACCCCTTATTCCAAATACACTGCAATCCCAGACTATTTGCCATTAAATAGTTTCTGTCAAGAGGTAGTGATAAGTACACTCATTGTTTTACCCTTTGTGTAAAATGTAGTATAACGTATACTTTATAAAATCTTAAATGTATACTACAGCTTAAAGAGCTTGAGGAATATTTTCATTCACAAAAAAGGAAAGAGTTTGGTAAGGGTAAAGCCAAATACTAAGGTTGCTGATTTTTGGCATTCATAGTCAAGAAAATAGGATATAAGGAGAAGCTCTTACCCTAAACCATAAAAAGAGATAAACTATGAACCATAAAATGGATAAAAAGTCCTAAAATCCAGATCACAGATCTAGGACCTGTGTGAATTGTCCTGGGAGGTAGCATGACTATCATGACAACCAGGTCAGCAGAAGACAGAAACAAGCCAAAGCAGCATGGCTGTGTGGTGAGCTACGCTCTAGTATTCTGCATCTTCACAAAGCACAGCAGCTGGTTTCTGAAGTTTTTTATTTTAGTACAATTATATTCTTTTACTTTACACTAAAAGCTTGTCCAGAGCTAAGAGGGATGTCAAGACTCCTCTTTCCCGGGGAATACTGCATCCAGCAAGACGTACTGGCTCACTTCAATAGTGGCAAACTCACTCACCAGCCAAGGGGTGCTGGTAGGTTTCTAGGATTCTCCTTCACTACCCTGGAAGAATGAGGTTCAAAGATGGCTACACAGGATCTCGTCAGCAAAAGCAAATTTTTTTTGCATCCAGCAAAGTAGGAAGGAATGGTCAAAGACTCATGAGTGTCATGGGACTTGTGACGAACATACACCACCAGCTGACTGACAACTGCTAACTGAAATCACTTGTGTCATTTATGGCACAGGATAATAACCAAGGTGAGGAAAGAAGGCAGAATACAGAATGAACCTGTTCTGAGTACCTCTGTGAGCTCTGATGGAAAAACACAGACCCGTAGAAATGTTAAACAGGAATGTTCGACAATTATCATTACAATAATAAGAAAAGTAACAGTAGCAACCTTCCCATCAAAGGGAAAAGTGTAAAATAATTTCCCTGTCATATAGCTGTCGGAAATATTTAGTCAAAGGCACTACAGAGTACAACATGAGTACAGCGCATACTCTACACCTGCAGCTTGATTTATCACTCTCTCTTCCAACAATGTCACTGGAAGGTCAGTGACAGAAATCCTTATTTTTCTTGTGTCTTTTTAGCCATCAATCATATTGCTATCCTTAAATCCAGCAAAATTACTATCAGATATTGCCTGCCAAAGTCCAAATGCACGAGAGCCATGGCTAAGAGACAAGGTTCTTTTCCAGCTTAGCCATCTCGGAAGAAAACTGAAATACTGTCTGTCACTCTGGAATAATTGATTATGGACTATACTGAAACCAGGTAACAAACATATACGTGGCAGAAATACTGTGATGCCCAATCTTATGTCTGGTCTGAAACAGTCACACTGTATCTCCAAGCATGGCTCTGGCAGCCATCTGAGAATCTTAGCAAGCATGTATCTACAACGAAAAAAAATCTGCAGAGGAATCTGGGATAATCTTGACAAGTATCTTAACACATAAAATAGTCAAATCAAACACTGTTGATTCATAAACAGTGGCTGAATGCATGCTGATGTTCAGGTTAAGCACTTCTCAAGTGCAGCTTAAGAAGTTTACAAAACTTCACCTATAGCATCTGGAATGAAAAGGGCTGGAAGTCACCTTAAGAACTCATCTAGTCTCTCCTCTACCCAAAGCAGATTCATATCGATGCCATTCCTGACAGAAATTTGTCTAGTTTTGTTTATATAGGCCTCTAGTATGGATATCCTAGGAGCACTCGAACTTCAGTACTCCTCAGAAGCATGATAATAAGAACATTATAACTTTGGTCTTTTGCCCTGTAGATATTCACGGAAGAGTACCAACAGATCCATTTCATGTCCTAAAATGAACTGTTGTTTATGCAACTTCAGTATAAACTACAAAAAGCAGGGGTCCCTCTTTATTGTATTCTAGATTAGAGAGTTTTGATTGACATCACTGGTCACATAGAAAGGAGCCCAGACTTAAAAACGAGCCTCTACAAGCCATGTCTAAGCCAGCCTTCTCCATACTGAGTCATTTAAAAACATATGACTAGAAAAG